TTATCATTTGAATAAACATCAGAGAACTCTACATCATAAAGTTTACGTATTTCGTTCTCCAAAGCCTGTATCTTACTGGTATGATTGACAACTCTTTTCCTGTATTCCGGATATGACGCAGGTCCGAAGACCGTCCACCCCAACAACGTCTTCACAGCGTACGGGCCTTTTCTTCCACCCAACCGCTGGTCTAACACCCAGTGTGCCTCTGGTACATCGCAACCAATCAACAGCAGAACTTCTTCAGAGTCTAGGTTGCCTATTGGTACATCCCTTAAATGTGGCCATTTAACTAGGTTGTTCATTGCTGATTTTGTTGGCTTATGACCTGGTATACTCGCTACAACCAGAGCTCCTTCAATAGTAACATGTTCAGATTGATCTAAAGAATATACCTCAAAAGGCGCACTCGTGACCTTCATTGTTCTATTACCGCCCACAGTCTCAACTACCACTGATGCTTCGTCTTCGCTCAGCCCGAGAGACCTCAAACAGTTTGATCTTATCAGTGTCACATCAGAACCGTTGTCCAACAGAGCATAACCCACAATCTCGGCTTTTCGCGATTTCAACCGTACGGGAATCATGCCTAAACACACTTGACTGATTAGTGATTTAGTATATCCGCAACAACTCGAGGTACCAGGTTTCTCACTCTCGCTGTGTAACAAAGAATGGTGTTTCCTTTCACAACCCTCAACGTTACAACGTTTTGCCAGCTTACATTCACTAACTTTATGCCCTTGCCTGAGGCAGACAAAACAGATGCCATTAACCTTCGCGTGAGACCATCTCTCTTGAACGGTAAGCGCTAAAAAATTTGGACATTTATAAATAGCATGGTCCAGGGAACACACACTGCATTTAGCTTTCTCTTTCGAATTATTCGCCTGCTCCAATTGCAAGTGACAATTTGTCTTTAAGTTGTGTCCCTTTCTCGGACGATTCGCTAACCGTCCAAACCTACTATTAGCTACCCTCGCGCGGGATGCTATAAATTGGGTAAGCTCATCAAAGGTTGGTTCTCTATTATCTTCAGTCAATTCATCTACCCAGTCCGCCCACTGGGCTTGCATAACTTGAGGTAAGAGTCCTACTATTCTCTCTAAGGTAATTAAAGAGTTTAAGTCGGCAGTATACTTCATCTGTTTCAAAACCATAGAACAATTTTCCATCCTAATAGCTAGATTTGTTAGTTGCTCAGGATCACTGTAATCAACATTTGTAGTTTTGAATAAGTCCTCTAAAGTCTCCCGAGCGATTACATGCGCCTGTCCGAACAACCGTTTTAGAATTTCTTTGGCCTTCTTGTAACCAAAAGAGGCTTCCAACATAACACAACCCTTGTAGTGAACAAGAACACGGGTGGGGACAATCGATTGTATTTAGCACAAAGATTACAGACTATCTCAATAAAATGTGAATACCATAAAGTCAATCGTCAATTTGCAAAATATCATTCCATCATATCAAACTGTACTGTTCCCGTTGCAAACACTAATCCATTGTCGCCCATTCCATTGTACATGCGTTTTCTTACAATTCCATTGTGCTCTTGCTCTTCCTTTCTTGATCTTCGCCATCTTCTGCTGCCGGACATTACGTTCTTTTAACGCACGTTATATACTACTTATATCAGTATAAGTAGCTCACACCACACTCGTCCCCCCCTTTAAAGCAGTCGTTCTTGTGGTGGTTCATGCTCGCCGTGCAACATTCTCCGTCTCTGCAGTCTGTGCGACGCTCTCCGTCAAGATGTCGAGTCTGCAGCGCGCTGACTTCCACAGCTCTATCGACCTGCCGGGGAAACAACAACCAACATCCACCCGGCACCTGGGACGCTTGACATCCGCACTCCACCGGCCTGCTGAGCCATCTACATCCGATGTCCGCCCAGCAGCCGCGCGTCCCGACGCTCCACTCCGTCGACAGCACCCGCTACAGCCAACGCAGCCCCGCCAGGACACTTCACCAGACGCCACCTCTCCGCACCAGACTGCCCCAACTGGCACCCCAACTCCAGGCCCGCAACGGCGTCCGCAGAACAGCACACTCCTCCTCTCCTGGTTGGCAGCGACACCAAATGTAGTGAACAAGAACACGGGTGGGGACAATCGATTGTATTTAGCACAAAGATTACAGACTATCTCAATAAAATGTGAATACCATAAAGTCAATCGTCAATTTGCAAAATATCATTCCATCATATCAAACTGTACTGTTCCCGTTGCAAACACTAATCCATTGTCGCCCATTCCATTGTACATGCGTTTTCTTACAATTCCATTGTGCTCTTGCTCTTCCTTTCTTGATCTTCGCCATCTTCTGCTGCCGGACATTACGTTCTTTTAACGCACGTTATATACTACTTATATCAGTATAAGTAGCTCACACCACACTCGTCCCCCCCTTTAAAGCAGTCGTTCTTGTGGTGGTTCATGCTCGCCGTGCAACATTCTCCGTCTCTGCAGTCTGTGCGACGCTCTCCGTCAAGATGTCGAGTCTGCAGCGCGCTGACTTCCACAGCTCTATCGACCTGCCGGGGAAACAACAACCAACATCCACCCGGCACCTGGGACGCTTGACATCCGCACTCCACCGGCCTGCTGAGCCATCTACATCCGATGTCCGCCCAGCAGCCGCGCGTCCCGACGCTCCACTCCGTCGACAGCACCCGCTACAGCCAACGCAGCCCCGCCAGGACACTTCACCAGACGCCACCTCTCCGCACCAGACTGCCCCAACTGGCACCCCAACTCCAGGCCCGCAACGGCGTCCGCAGAACAGCACACTCCTCCTCTCCTGGTTGGCAGCGACACCAAATGTAGTGAACAAGAACACGGGTGGGGACAATCGATTGTATTTAGCACAAAGATTACAGACTATCTCAATAAAATGTGAATACCATAAAGTCAATCGTCAATTTGCAAAATATCATTCCATCATATCAAACTGTACTGTTCCCGTTGCAAACACTAATCCATTGTCGCCCATTCCATTGTACATGCGTTTTCTTACAATTCCATTGTGCTCTTGCTCTTCCTTTCTTGATCTTCGCCATCTTCTGCTGCCGGACATTACGTTCTTTTAACGCACGTTATATACTACTTATATCAGTATAAGTAGCTCACACCACACCCTCAATGGCTGTTTTCGCTTTACCCTTACAATAATGTATCAAATAAAGCAAGCGTTGACCATCATCCTTGACCCTTGATTCCACATAGGACTCAAACTCCCTTAAAAACTTCCAGTAACCTCTTGGTTGACCGTCGAAATAACTTAACTCAACCTTTGGTAACTCTGGACCTATGAAAAACGCTGTAGGCCTTACGCCTTTTGCTTGCTTCACGTCTAAATTAAGGTTTTCTATGCCATCTGCCATTATATCACAACTAGATTCACTATAATTACAATCGTCCCTATTAGAATATGAACCATGACACATAGAAGCATCAGAAGGCACTTGCCTTGATTGAGGGGATCCATCCTTTTGTTCATCTCTTTTAACATTCACGAGCCTTGGACTTAATTTCCTTCGACGATTGTTTGGCATCGGAAGCGAACGACCAGATATTCCCAGAGACGATGATTGGAATCAACGAAACGAAAGCCAAACGAATTCGACCAAATATTTGTTTAGAACTGTAAGATCCAAACTACGTTTGGACTGCTGGACAGCTGTCTGGATGAGTTAGATACGCGCCCTCGCCCGATTGAAACCAAAACAAAGGAATTGGGTAAGATAGCGGTTCTATAATTTATCATAAATTTAAGTGTACATTATTACCTAAACAAATATAACCACTCAGCTATCCAACCAATAATTGTTCAATTGATCAAATCTAATTACAATAAATAAGAAAGTTGATAAAGGATGCAAGAAATTTACCAATCACAACAAATCAACGTTATTCTATCCTGGCTGGATAGATCACACACAACAGGAGGAACAAATCAATATGGCTACCGCCAAGAACAAGTGTCAAGTAAAACAACACAGATGCAGTTCAGGAAGAAACACAAACTTAGTGAATGCGTAAGAAAACAAAAACTATAATAAAAAATACAAGTATTAACAACTCAAATGTAATCAAAATACAACAATGTACAACTAAGGGAATCAATAGGAACAAAGTACAAGTATATACATGGAGGGATTTTCACAAACACACAAAACATTCAAAATGGATCTTACAGCCACGACGGTAAGACCACCAAGACGGTATTATTTTGGCAGTAAGGCTATGTCAGTCCTTCAAACATCTTTAAAGATCAAGACACTCTGACCACGACCATAGAGCATTCAGGATAGTCAACCGTATGATATCAACGTAAGATTGTGCGGATTAGACAGCTACATCATCACAAGCTAACTATATAAGATTAATTAATCTAGTAGCATAACTAGTAATAACGATCATAGCCCTAAACCAAACATTACCACCCACTACGTAGCCAAAATTGGGGCGAAGGCTTACATTTGCCACTCACAGTAATTGAAAAGTCTTGTTTTCTATTCACCAAAACCTAACAGTCCCTTGTCCTTCTTGACAGACTTCTTAAGGACAGTGTTCTAGTTTGTTGCGGACTTTGATATACATGTCGTCACCTTCAGGTGAGTGTAGGCTCAAAACATGAGGCACTTAAACTGGTAACCCATAATGGACAACATTTTGAGACACAAATTTTCGAGCTACGAATTCAGTATGTTTCTCATAGTCATCTACTAGTTCTTGTGCTTTATCTTATTGTTGATAACGGGTGTTAAACACGAATAGCCGTGATCAAAAGATTATCAATAGAAGTTTATTCATGTCATCAAGACAGAATTCTAGTAGCTTACTAGGACAAGTAAAACCACTAGGGCTTTTGTTTTCTATAACATGAAGGCTTCGTAGATAGAAAAACCATTATATTAAATTTTATGAAGTAAATTCAAAACACAAAAAGTGAAACTGAGAAATGTACAATAATGAAGTCAATTGCTGTTCCGCTTATCACTGAACAATGCAATCTATTTTCCCGCCTAAATGATCTGCATATTTATTAGCAAGTTCTTGACGTAATTTAAGCAACAATATCCGTGTTTTAATTAACTGGTTTAATGAATTATGTAATTGTTCTTTGTTGAAATTATTTGATAATTGAGATGCAGTAGTTATGACATCATCAAATGAAGCTTCCCACGTATTTTTAGTAAAACAATTATTAGCTAAAAGAGGAGATAGAGAATTTATTTAGTTTACTTACATTTCAATAGTTAACATCAGTATTAACAGCATTATCACTTTAAACAAGTTAAGAAAGATGTTAGTAAACAGGTCTATGTATAAGATCAATGTGATAATAAGTACATTTCAAATAATCATTAACTTAATAATTGAATTCATGAGTCAATTAAAACTAGCTCAGGTGGTTGATTTTAATGGAGTTTTGTTCTCTGAGCTAGATGGTCTAGTTTTTTAAATAGTTCATAGATGATGATACACAGTTCAAATGAATTAAACAGCTCTTCTTGTCTAAGCTTTTTCACCAGAACTCACTACGTCAAGGTTTATTCTGTCGAAGAAAAACCAAAAAAAAAAACACAAAACGACGCCACAGACCTCTGACACACAATTACTTGTTATCTTGAAATCCTTCATAACCGTAGACACCCCAAAACTTGAAGGAATCCATCACAAAAAATATCTCTCTGTAAACCACGAGAGGCAGATAATCATTTCTGACTTCTGACTTGACTAGATTAGCATACTTCAATTATAAAAGTGTTACTTGTAAATTCAATGTCAAACTGTGAATAAGTGTGGTTTCTTTAAAATAATATATGATCAATAGTCTAAAATCTACATTATCATTACCTACAACTTGCCCTCGGATGTCCTGGTACGGCTGAGAGTAAGGAGAATCAGCTCTCTCTCTCTCGAAGTACTCTCACATGACCACACGCATACAGTCACTCCCAGGGAAGTCCTACACATTGCCTTCTCGCAGCATTACTGTTGTTTACGAAATTGAGAAAACGAATATCCGACGCTTTAACCGGGTTGATGGACACGGAGATTCCACCTAAAGAAGTTGGAAAACCCTGATCCCAAACCAATGGTGCATATATACTCTAGGATCTTCAGGGAACAAATGGCGTATTAACCAATTATTGGTCACCTGTCACCATGGGATTGCATCTGCTGACGTTGCTCCACTGCCTTGTGGATTAGACCTTTAGGTCAAAGTCTCGAGGAACGACCCCTTAAGAAAATCCCCTGCTCCAGTCTGGGCACCCGGGCAATATCCCAACCCTCACAAAAATCAAATGACTTGTGTGGTGCATATATATACATATATATATTCGGTGCCCGTTTGTACCAATATTGATGTGTTCAAATAAATAAATAATACCCTACAAATTGACAGCTTGAAAATGTACTATTCACAATGTTGATACATTTGAAAGTTAAAACATTGAACTGGAAATCATTCATAATGTCAAATAATTTGTCTAATAGATTATTGAATAATAAAATGGCTTACTTTTATTCTCAGAATTACAGATTGATTGTATTTGTAGTGATGATGAAATATCTTTTGGAGATGTACTAATTACATAATCATTATCTTTAATTTGTTTTTCACTATTCAATATAATATCATTTATGTTATTTGTTAAAGGTTTTGGTTGAATCAACAATTCAGTTAAATCTAATTTTTGTCCTTTAGCTAAATTATTTAATTGTTTAGTTAAACAAACAATTTCATTCACATTCTCTTGAATAGATTCATATAAACATTGACATAATTGACCATTTGTTGATTTCCATAATGAAACTATATTTAATAATGTATTATAAGCTTTGAAAAGATTTTCAAGTAATGCTTGTTTTTCTGATGTTATCTAAATACGTTGTAAATAAGAAGACAGAAAACAAGTGAAAGGAATACTATTCCAAAACAATGTCAATTATTGTGCAAAACTGTCAGGTATTTATAGTTTTTTTTTTTATATTAAAAATGAAATCATCACTAAAAAGTCATCCGATTCACATACAAGGGGTTAATAGCATTTGTTCAATCGGGAAGTTACACGTAAGAATTCTAGTATATTCTTCCGAAAAGGTGATTGGAAGGAATATTGTTATGACCTTGGATGTCTGACTTTTCGATCACACGACTTATCTACCAATCCGAATACGACTTATACGAATCTTCACACTAGGCCAACCAATGACGTTCAACCGGTGTGGGCAGTTTAGTGTCCTTATTGGTCCTATGTCCTACGAGCCCTCCCACTTGAGTCCAGAACAAGATACCAGCTTCCGAATCAGAGCAGATCGTTTATTTCAGGCATACTTGGTTTATATATCAATCACACAGACCGCAACGTACCATAAAATAGGAAATAATATTTGTACACAAATAAGCCCAAAAAGTGGCTGTGAATGTGGGAGGCATTAGTTAATAAACTGAACATAACTTAAGAACCGTAAATCGTACAATAATAAATTATAGGCCAAAATAAAGCTTATCATAAGAGGAATATAAATATACATAGTGTAATTGTTGAGTAGTTATACAATAAGAATATTAGTCCATTAGTAGTCCTTGGAATTTACCTGTAATTTAATCTTCACTCGGATATAACACCTCCCCCTTTTTTTTTTGAAAATTCCAACTTTAGATTCTGATTAAAAAAAAGAATCATATGTGACTTTAAATTCCTCAACATTCTCCTCCTCCTCGAAATAATGTTGGGTCCTTATGGCTCCAAAATACAACTAGTAGGACTTTATTTAAACCATGTTTCTCGTATTGACTGGAGAAGCCACTAAAAATGACTAGATGATGATGAACGACCTTTGATCTGAGTTCATTATTTTCAAATTCATTATGAATCTCGTTAGCAGATAACGAGTCATTAAGAAAGTCAACGTCTAACAGAATTAAATTAGATTTTTGGCCATCATTCGACTCAGCTGACATATTTCCCTCATTGTTATAAGAAGTTTCATCAAAATCATATGCATTATTCTGAGAATCAATATCTGGCACACTGTCATTAGAAATGGGATAAGTTGACTCAATATAAAATTCTGTCTTCCGGTGATTTTGAGTAACATCTGGTACAATTTGGTTCATCGTGTTGCTCCAGTTATTTTCTGAATACGAGTCACCATAGCTTTCTCGACTAGTAGCACGTGGACCACAATTTTGTTCGAGCTGACGTTTATTTTCGCAGCTAGACAGTACCAGTAGTGTTTCATTTGATTCTGGACTCTGGGCATCATCTACAGGATCTGGCTCCTGATCATCTGGTATTGTCACAACTTCATGTGCATTTAGCACAATATCATCTTGCTGTGAGCTGGACACGTTACCAATATTACGTTTTCCTTCTGGTATAGAAGGATTTGAATCCTGCACAGGATATGCTTCTGAAATGTCCATTACTGCACCATTATCTGCATGATATATAGATTTCTTATTTTCTGCTTGAATGCAAAGTCTGCCCAAAACTGTTACAAATAGCTGTTGTTGCAAGGCAAACATCTTCTGCTGGTGCTGTAATATTAACCGCAACTGTTCGAAAGAAATCGACATTTTTTTTTGCCAATAATATTAGCTCCAAAAATCACCGGCAATTATACAGCTAATTTATTTCCAAAATCTGAGTCACCACTTGTTGTATTATTATTTTTTTGTTGCCAAAATCCCCGTCGCCAATTGTTATGACCTTGCGTCTCCCAATTATTTTGTTTTTGCCAAAATCCCCGTCGCCAATTGTTATGACCTTGGATGTCTGACTTTTCGATCACACGACTTATCTACCAATCCGAATACGACTTATACGAATCTTCACACTAGGCCAACCAATGACGTTTAAGCGGTGTGGGCAGTTTAGTGTCCTTATTGGTCCTATGTCCTACGAGCCCTCCCACTTGAGTCCAGAACAAGATACCAGCTTCCGAATCAGAGCAGATCGTTTATTTCAGGCATACTTGGTTTATATATCAATCACACAGACCGCAACGTACCATAAAATAGGAAATAATATTTGTACACAAATAAGCCCAAAAAGTGGCTGTGAATGTGGGAGGCAGTAATTAATAAACTGAACATAACTTAAGAACCGTAAATCGTACAATAATAAGTTATAGGTCAAAATAAAGCTTATAATAAGAGGAATATAAATATACGTAATGTAATTGTTGAATAATTATACAATAAGAATATTTATAGAATATCAGTGCATTAATAGTCCTCGGGAGTTACCTGTAATTTAATCTCCACTCGGATATAACAAATATCTTCGGCTGTTTCTGAGCTTTTTAGAGTTTCCTCGAGTTCACCCGTGGACTGCTCTCCCACCCCAACTCTTTAAAGTCTATTGTGTAAGACGTTTTCCTCGGATACACCTGAAACTTGGTTATCTCATTCCTTTTGTGGTTCATCACTCTTGATGGTTGTGCCGCTTTGCCCTTGCGTCTTTTATCTCTTCTACATTTGCTCTCCTTAAGGCTTTTTCGAGATGAATCCACGAGCAATTGAAACGGAAGTCGGTTTTGTGTGACCACTGTCCTGTCGTCCATTTGAATTTGATTTATGTGTCTTATACATGTTCCGACATTTCTTCGGACCAGGTACAGCACATTGCCGATCCGAAGTTCTATAGCACCTACTTCCTATCATCTTGATACGATTTAACAAGTACCCTTGTACCCACCTGGAAGCTACAAGTGGATTTATTTGTCTTTCTGGGCGGCAACATACTGTTAAAGACTATCCGGAATTTCCTTCTGAACATACACTTGGCTGGTGACTTTCCTTCTGGTACTACTGGATTGGGGGGGGTAACTCTGTAAGACATATAGAATTTACTAATTACTTGTTTTGGAATACCTTTTCCTTCCCCTTTGACCAGAGCTCGAAAAGGAAAACAAAACAATTACACCAAAAGAAAATAACTCACGTCAGAAATATGCTTTTTTAATTGTCGAATTTCAGCACGTCTAGTTGATAAGGATGCTTTAATACCAGTAATTTCTGCTTCTACACGTTCGTGAAATTCATTGAATTTACATTGTTCCATTTTTTGTTGAGTTTCTGCCGTATCTGCACGACATGTTTCTGCTTCAAGAAGCTAATACATACACAATAGAAAACATTACATTACATTAGTAAACTTTATTAATCAATAAACATGGTAATAATAATAATAATATCAACTTCTATGGTTTTGAATGTTTAACTAATGACATAGTAACAGAAAATAGGTATTTGCAAAAAAACAAAAACAGTAATCAATTGTCAATGAACAGTTTGTTCAATATATAAAACAAAATGTTGCAATTTATTCAAAAGGTTGTCTGAATACAAACAGACCAGTTACAAGAAAAGAATGACAGATTATCATTAAACATTCAATTCATTGATATTTTTTCAAACAACTAGCCAATACGAATCACAATGAGATCTAATATTACTTAGTACTTTATATACTAATACATGTTAGGATCTACTTTTTGATAAATGGAAGTACAATATGTAATTTAATGTAACGTTAACGAAGAAGGAAAGGATTACAGTGAATTTTACTCAGTGTTATGCATTCACCAATGATAACAGTGAAGATAATAAAGATGCTGTAATCCATCGTAAAGAAATGCACAGGTAAAGAGTTGACCTGTACATTAAGGTGGGCATGGACAACACCATATATGAAGATTTTATGGGGCGGCATGATTTAAGAGAAAGGAGAGACTGGTAGATTCATTCGCTTTTAATATGATCATGGACGGAAGTGTTTTCCCCAACAAATAAACACATAAAGCTATGTGGATATCACTGAACCACACTACAGAAAAACAGATAGATCACGTCTGTATCAATAAACATTCAAGTCAATGGAAAACGGAAGAACAAACAGATGTAATGATGTAGACAAGCTAAAACTGAAGTTAAAGATGCATTGGACACTCGGACAATCAGGACCATAAAATTTAAATACACCCTTCCTTTGAGATGCCGATAAACTCAAAGAATTCAAGAGTTCCACGCCTTACCTACCTACTGAGAAAAGACGAAAGCACTATGGTGAACAACTGGATAAGGATTAAAGAACAAATATTTCAAACGTACCAGGAGTTACTGGGCCCCAACAAGCACTAGTATAAATGGTAGATCTCCGTAGATATTCTGGGCAAGATTCAGGAAATGAAAGACAAAAAGACGGTAGTCAACAACAATGTAATAACAGCTGAGAAATTCAAGATATAGGCCAAATATACAGAATCAAACAAACAAGTGAAGAAGAGAATTAGGATTGAGAATCAGAAATACGTAGGATACCTGGATACCTTAGCAAAAGAAGCTCTGAGAGGAGGAATTTGAGAATACCATATGATTAAACCGAGAAGCAAGTAAGGAAATGTAGTAAACCAGATTTACCAGTCAAGAGCAAAAAGTGTAAAGCAATTACGGAGGTTTAAGAACAATCGGCAGGTGGGTAGAGGGTTTTCAACGGCTGCTGAATAGATCAGTCTAACGGAACTCACCAGTCATCCAAGCAGTATACATAAACCTCCCTACAGACGGCACTTCAACAACAGTAGTAGCAATTAGTAAGGCTAACAAACAAAGTAGCACGAAAAGACAGGATAACACCTGAATTACTATAGTCAGACATAGAAGTGACTGCAAAGATATTCCATGATCCCTACAGAAAGATTTGAGAGAAAGCACAAGTATCAACGGAGCACAAAAAAATATCTGGTCAAAATGTTAAAAAAGATTTTAGCAAATGTAAGAACTGAAAAAGGATCATGCTATTATCAGTACCAGGTAAAGTTTTCAACAGAATGTTGCTAAACCGAATGAAAGATTAACCAGACACTCAACTTTGAGATAAAAAGCTGACGTTCGCAAGGATCGATGACGCACCAATTAAAGTCCAACAACATAGATCATTGTTGAAAAATCAATTGAATGGAACTCATCATTAAACATAAACTTCCTCGGTCATGAGAAAGCTTCGCAGAGTGAACGGGAAAACATTGTGGAGTCGCCTTCGACACTACAGAGCATCTAAAAAGATACCTACCAGATCAAGAACTCCTACGATAGACTGGATTACAAAGTTGCGTACTAAGAGCAGCTCACTGATGCATCTGAAGTCAAGACTGATGTCTGGTAAGGCCGCATACTGTCATCCTTTCTCTTCCTTCTAGTTGTTGACTTGATAATGATGACCTAAACATCTCAGGGGAAGCGTGAAACACATTTGACACTTTAGGCGCAACTAGGCGGTTTTCGATTTGCACATGATTCGACTCTCCTATCCTTTGCACAGTGACAAATGCAGTCGAAGACTGCCAGGGTAGCAGCAGCTGTTTCGGCACCAGGCCTTAATATTCACAGGGGAAAAACAAAGATCCCGAAACACAACACAGCCAGCAACAACAAAATAATACTTGATGGACAAACTCTGAAAGGGGTGGACATTTTTACGTACGTGGGCAGCAACATCGATAAAAAGGAGGATGTGTAGCGAATGTAAAGGCACAAATTGGTAAAGCAAATACACCATTCTCAAAAATAAAGAACATCTGGAACTCAAAACAACTCTCACACAACAACAAAGTCAACATTTTTAAAATGAACATTAACACAGTTCCATTGTACCGAGCTGAAACCTCGACAACCACTACCACCATCACCAACAAGGTAACATCATTTATATACAGATGTCTAGGCAAGATACCCCAGATCCGTTGTTCAGAGATAATCGATTATAATCTTCTCTAACAGAGAACATACCACCACCTCCCATGTTAAGGGGAAATTAGAAAAAGATGCAGAAGGTGGATAAGACACACTTTTTGGTCATCATAAAATTATATCACAGAGAAAGCCTTTACTTGGAATCGTCATTGCAAATGGGAAAGAGACAGATCAGAAAACACATGGTGTCGAGTGTTTTAGCGTGACATCAAAAGCATAAATAAAGTTTTCCACAAACTGGAGAGGCGACCTCAGGCAAAGTTGTCCAGAGACTCCTGGTCAAGCACCTCTCCTAAGAGTAACAGACCTGAATATTTTGTCAGTAAAAATTACATACAAATGCTACAGAACTTATTCATGTACCAAACTTAGATGGAATTTCCATCATTATTAATTAGCTATTAGACAATCACCATATAGGTACGTTCAAATGGTCGTGAACTACTCACTTTTTTAGTTTTTTCAAATGCGATCTGATAGCGTTCTAATTCACATTTCAAATCTTCAACAAAAATCGGTATAACATTTGATGCTTTTATATTATTGGATTTTCCAGTTTCGCTTTCATTAAGACGCTATACAAAGTGTGATAAAAATTAAATGTGGGTAAAAATCATTGATACATATATTTCATTTCAAATCTTTCTGGTACTTTCTTGAATGCTGTCAGTCAGTTAAACACAGTGTAGAAAATGGTAAGTGTATACACACTGTCCATAGAATAAGTCAGTTTCATGTAAGATTTACTAAATCAAATGGATTATAAAAAGTTAGATCGAATGATTTGATAATTGAATTCATGAGTCAATTGAAACTAGACCACCATGGAAAACCTGGAAGCAGTGGTCTCCAAGAGGTATTTTCTGGAGTTCTAGTGGGAAGCAGTGACCAGTGGAGTTCACCGGGTCAGTTGTGACATAGTAACTCACTGATGACAATGGTGGATGTGTCGCTCAATTTCGTGGATTATTTGAAGTTAGACACAAACACTGCTGGATGCCGGCTCAGTGGTTTAGTGGTTAAGCGTTCGCGTGCGAGCCAGATAGGTTGTGGGTTCGAATCTCGTGAGGCAAGATCGTGAATGTGCACTGTTGAGGAGTCCCATGCTAGGACGAAACGGTCGTCAAATGTTTCCACGTTTTCCATGGTAATCTAGCTTCAGTTAACTCATGATCCTAATTATTAAAATTGACTAATCATTTATTTTCTAACAGCCTACTACATATTAAGTGAAAAGTAAAACTGAAGAGTTTAACATCAATTCAACATGTGAGTCAGTCAGTCAGTAACAACGTAGAACTTCGTACGTAAGTACATCAGTTCAAGTTGTCATACCACATTAGTACAGAGAAGCAGTTGTCGATTCAAATCCCGTAGTGGTAGAGGTAGTAAGTGTATAAGCAGTAATCGGGAAGATTAGGGTTTGAAGATGTTATGCAAGGAGTATAATCCAGTGAAATAAATTTGGGAAGAGAAAAAAAGAGACAAGGAGGAATCAGGAGATTTAAAATTTGGGAGGACACAAAGAGTGGATGCACCTGCGCACACCATTGCAAACGATTTTGAGCCATGTCATTCAGGGTCTCTAACCATCGGTTGCTGTCGTCTCACGGATCCCAACCAGGTAGTCCACACCTACCAACATGGCTCAGTCCATTTGTGAGTGACTTCATGGATTTGTGCCATGTTTTGGTCTGGCCGCCCCTAGCTCTCTTCCAACCTACTCCTACACCATGAAACATCGCACGTCGTGGCAGTCGGTGGTTGGGCATACGTAACACGTGTCCCAACCATCTTAACTGACGAAGTTTCATTACTTCATCAATTGATTTGCCATCCTAACCTAGTGCCCGTTTCCTAACAACTGCGTTGCTTACTCGATGGTCCCAGAATATACGAGCAATGTTTCGAAGACACCTATGATCGAATACTAGTAACCTACGAATATCCTCTACTCTATAAATGACTGTTTCTAACTGTGATTTTACTTGAATCAGTAATAAATTTTAAAATAAAATAGAGTTTACACAATATTCATAGTGTTTACCTGACAAAATAAAATCAAGTTCAAGTTAAGAGTTTGTATTCAACTATGTATAAATGTGGTGAACGAGAATACAAGCGGGGGACAATCGAATGTATTACAACACAAAATTACGGAACATCTTAGTATAATCTGTGAATCATACAGTAAATACTTCATTTGAAAATGTCCATCGATTGTCTCAAACTTGATTGTTCGCTTTGCAAATGTCAGTAAATCGTCGCAGGATTCATTGTTCCTGCATTTTCATACTAATTGCTTTCCGTTCACGTTCTTTTCTCGATCTTCTAGTGAAATACATTCTATCTTTGACTATCGTAATATACTACTTATGTGGATATAAGTAGCTCACACCACATTAATCATTTCCTTTAACAGAAACATGAAAATGTGTATTTGAAATAATCTCAGTGATTGAAATTTATAATAATTACAACGTTTCATCCAGCGAACTTGCGTGGACGTCTTCAGGATAATAATGAAAATCAAAATCATTTAAAGAAATATATGATGATCAAATAAAATTAGACGTAGTTTAATACACGATAGTCGAGTCATTTCATATGGATGATTTCATGTTTTGTCCAATTCTTATTTCATCCTGTAATCCCAAACAATAATAACTACTGTAGTGAACGATAATTTGGTGGGGACGACCAAATTATTGTTTAATGCAGAATATACATTAAATCCTTCATTTGCAAATCTTCCATCAATTGTTCTTTACATCCGATTCTCAATATCTTTATGTTTCTCTTTCTCTTTTCTTCAGTTCAACCTTCTCAACCTTTTTTTAAACAGATATTCCGGTTATTATTGGTATTAAATGCGACCTTTGTCTGTCGGTATAATGTAGCATACACCGCACAAGTACATACTCTTCATTTAGTATACTAACAGTACTAACTGTTTACTGTTTTCATACTTCAGCATAAAGATAGTATTTGACAATTGTCCTAAAGGAGTTTAAACAAGTTTTCTGGACGAAACATTGGAATTATTCTTAAATTTTAATCACTGAGATTATTTCTCTACACTTGATGCCCAATTGTTGTCATACTATTCATTTTAATTCACTTAGTGTTGTTTTATTTGTATCTTCCTATTGTTATACAGGAGTGTATTTGATTAGTTTCATGTTGGCATGTGTGCATCCTGTAGGGGTTTCCTCGATACAGCCTTAAGTTATGATGGCGTTTAAAGCGAATGGTACTAGGTTCAAGTCCCGGAATGAACATCAACTCTGAGATGCAGCTACATTCAGTTGACGAGTCCCAAATGGGACGAAACGCGCGTCCTGGATTCCACTGCCTAGCTATTATCCATCTTTGCTTATTCATTTTAATCTTGATAAATATTCATATAAATTAAACATAAATTACAATAGAATGTAATAATATTACCCCATTATGAATTGTATCTAATTGTATTTGAAGTAATTGTTCACGTTCTTCATATTGTTTCATTTGATTATTGACATCAGTTAATTGTCTATCACAATTCATTAATTTAATTTATATTCTTCAATATGATTTTCTAATAATACATTTTGATTTTTAATGAATTGAAACTAAATTGTAAAAAAGAAAAAAAAAACAAAAATACATAAAACATATTGAATGGATTTATTATATCAATATATCAAGTATGTAATGTATGTATTTAATGAGATAGTCAGGTTTCACAAGGATAACTAATCCCAACATCAGTAGTATATTCCAGAGTATAAATACATGATGGTAATAGAGTGGAGAGAGTCAGCTCTCCATCTCGAAATGCTTTCATATGACTATATGCATACAATCATTCTCAAGGAAGTCTTACTCACTGTCTTCTCGCACCACGAGTGTTGTTCACGAAATTGAGAGAACGAAAAGTGAATGTCCGGCGCTTTAACCGGGTTGGTGGATATAGAGGGTCTACCTAGGGGATTTGAAAAACCCTGATCCCAAACCAATGGTGCGCATGGGCTCCAGTATCCTGAAGGAACAAATGGTGTATGAACCAATCGTTGGTCACCGGCTACCATGGGACTGCATCTCCTTACGATGTTCCACTGCCTTGTGGATCAGACCTTTAGGTCGAAAGCTCCGGGTATGGCACCCTAAGAAAACCATCTGCTTCGGTCGAGAAGTTCGCGTATCTAGGTAGCTGTATAAGTGCTGGTGGGGGTGTGAGTGATGAGATCAATGCACGTACAGTGAAAGCCAGAGTGGCTTATGCCAATCTGGGCCACCTTTGGCGCCTTCGTGATGTTAGTCTGACTGTAAAAGGTCGGGTCTACAACGCGTCGGTGAGAGCGGTTTCGCTCTATGCTTGTGAAACCTGGCCTCTCCGAGTTGAGGATGTCAGACGACTCTCTGTGTTCGACCGTCGTTGTCTCCGAAGGATTGCTGACATCCAGTGGCAACACCATATTAGTAATGCAGAGGTTCGGCATCGTGTGTTCGGGCACAGAGACGATAATGCAATCGGTGTCACTATCTTGAAACATCGACTTCGGTGGCTTGGAAATGTTCTACGAATGTCGTCCCAGAGAATTACACGTCGTGCATTATTTGCCGATTCTGGGACTGGTTGAAAAAAGCGGAAAGGTGGTCAGTATATGACATGGTGTCGTGGTATGAAAGAAAGCTGCAAAGGGCTGGCTTCTGTTGGCTCTTCACGACTCCCTGGCTGGGGTCCGAGAGATGGTGCGACACAGTGATTAGAGACGTTATCAGATATGCACAGAATAGAAGCCAGTGGCGATCCTGCTGTAACATTCTTTTACTTTCTTCATTTAAAAAATGGTTGTATCTTCCTTAACTGAAGGATTTCTTCTGATTGTACCTTCCTTTTCCCCCATTATTACTATTGTTATTATTATTACACTACCTTACACTAATCTGTTTGTTATTGTTTTTTTCTCTTCGAATTCTCATTGTTTTGTGTGGCGCATATATATTTGGTGCCCTCTTGTACCAATATTTATGTGTATAAATAAATAATAACCTGCTTCGGTTTGGGCACCTGAGCAGTATCACAGCCGTCACACATATCAAATGAGATTTGTGTGGCGCATATGTATTTGGTGCCTTCTTGTACCAGTATCTGTGTTAAAATAAATAAATAAGGAAACAATAAGCGTATGAACCCATTGTTATTCACCGGCTACCATGATATTGCATCTCCTGACGTTGCCCCACTATCATGTGGATCAGATCTTAAGGTCAAAGGCTCCGGGTGTGACTCCCTAAGAAAACCACCTGCTTCGGTTTGGATACTATGGTATTATCCCAGCCCTCGCACAAATCGAATGATTTATGTGACGCATATCTATTTGGTGCCTTCTTGTACCAATGTTTATGTGTTTAAGTAAATAAATAAATAATGTTATACTGATTAAACACCGGTAGATTGAATAACTTAGGTGAAATTGTAACCAACAACTGTATACATTTGACAACAGAAAACATTGTTTATACTTATTTTTATTACATTTAATAAGATAATTAATTTTAGGATATTCATCTGTTAGGGACGTTAGATACCCAGAACTCACTCAAAAAAGGTCCTCATTTTGTAATTTTATTTCGAAATTTTGAACTCCTTTTTTTGCGCCAAAAGCGCTCTTTTCAGCTTCATGTTATATTTCCCACTTGGGAGAATCTTAAACGCTATTGGTCCAGTGTATCTTTTAGTATGCTATTTTGTAACGCTTCCCAAGAACGGCTTTGTGCTGTATATATACGCTTTGATTTGTGTCTGTTGTTATCACTCGTGCTTCTGGCTTTATGCGGAATATACTTCCCCGTTCGGGCTTCGACTTCTCTATCTAGTTAGAGGGGCTAGGACGCATCGGAATAGATAGTTTATTGGTCTTTGGTCACAAGTCTTTGTCCCGTTCGCAGACTAAGTGAACTCGTAATCGCTTCAAACCTACCATCATCTAAGATCACTCATTCATTTTACAGATTCAATCAAGTCTTTTAAGTATTAGATATTTAAATATGTTTATTCAATTTTTATATGATCCTTGGTATGTTTAAAATTATCCAGGTAAAAAAGTGTAACAACATCAGTTGTAAAATTAACGAAATATAACTTCATGTGTAAGACCTACGATCAATAAACTCTTGGACAATTTTTTGTGAGTTTTTTTTTTTCAATATTCATAACGTCTAACTCCTTGACAAGAAGAGTTCTTTAAATAAAATCAAATGATTCAATAAGAGTAGATGATAGACATTCATCATCCTCTATTGCCAAATACAATCCGAAAGCCACCGTGTGTTTAATGATATTCTTAACACATCTTTTGTGTTGTTGTACAATTGTCGAAAGGAGTATATTAAAGCCTTAGCCATAGGAAAATTCAACCACCCTTTATGTATTAAAAAACAGTCTTTTCCATCTTAAACCTACACTAGTAATATAATTTTGATGTTTGATTATATTTCCTTGAAAAAGCTAAAACCAGATTGCTAAGCAAAACGTTAGATTTACTACAAATCCTTTCGCTGAGATTTTACAAATACAACATTCTTCCTCTTTAATGTCTCAGATTAACTCGGCACCCAAATACTGTGAAACTATTCGATCAAATTTGGACGAAAGTTATTATCTACACTATTACTTACTTACTTACGCCTGTTACTCCCAATGGAGCATAGGCCACTGACCAGCATTCTCCAACACACTCTCTAATGGGCCTTCTTTTCTAGTTCCATCCAATTCTTGTTCATTTTTTCCATGTCTATCTCCATTTCGCGGCGTAATGTTTTCTTTGGTCTTCCTCCTTTCCTTTAGTCTTGAGGATTCCATGTGTGGGATTGTCTTGTGACACAGTTCGGTGCTTTCCTCAGTATGTGTCCTATCCACTTCCAGCGCTTCTTCCTGATTCCTTCCTCCTCTGGGATTCGGTTTGTTCTCTCCCACAGTACGTTGTTGCTAATAGTGTTCAGCCAACGGATCCAAAGTATTTTGCGTAGACAACTGTTAATAAACACCTGTATCTTCTGGATGATGGCTTTTGTAGTTCTCTAGGTTTCCGCCCCATACAGTAGAACCGTCTTGACATTTGTATTGAAAATCCTGACCTTGGTGTTGATTGACAGTTGTTTTGAGTTCCAGATGTTCTTCAGTTGCATATATGCTACTCTTGCCTTTCCGATTCTCGCCTGCACATCTGCATCAGATACACCGTGTTAATCAATGATGCTGCTCAAATATGTAAAGGTTTTTACATCTTCAAATCTTCTCCGTACGAAGTTCTACGTTGTTACTGACTGACACTGGATAATAAGCTAATATTACTAGTGTAGCAAACGCTAACCAGAAAAAATTATCTACACTAGTAAGATTAGCTTATTATCCAGGGTCAGTCAGTCGGTCAGTAACAACGTAGAACTTTGTACGTACGTACATCAGTTCGAGTTGCCATGTAACATTAACACAGAGATTCAGTTATCGATTCAAATCCCACAGTTGTAGACGTAGTAAAAGCATAAACAATAATCGGAAAGATTAGAGTTTGAAGATGTTATTCAAGGAGTATAATCCAGTGAAATAAATTTGGAAAGAGAAAAAAGAAAAGGACATGAAGAATTCAGAAGATTAGAATTTGAAAGAACACAAAGAGTGGATGCACCTGCGCACATTATTGCAAACGATTTTCAGCCATGTCATTCAAGGTCTCTAACCATCGGTTGCTATCCAATGTGATATCGTTTCAAACTGTTTTTCATATTATTTTCTTAACTATCTTTGTCTATTCTTTCCCTTAATTTCCAGTCTAGTTAACCTTTTATTTTAATATATAAATGTACTTAGCAAGTATATAAAGTGTGATTAGATTGCTCGAAATATATCACTAAGTTCTGATAAAATAATCATCTTCTTAGTACATTATCTAAATTTATCAAAGAGACTAATGGCTTCAAATTTCTTTTTAAATAACATTGTCATCTATTTGGACTTGTCCATTGTTTTGTTTATCTATATTGAAAGTTCCTAAAAGAAACAAAACTGAAATTTTGGATATAATAGAAAAAAAAATCGTATTATCAATCAACCTAATGTACTCAAAAGAAAAATCATCTTATCAAAAAATTAGTTACTAGTTATTATAACTTGTGGCCTATGTGCCCTGTTAATGTATAACGTAATGATACAACCAATGAAAGTACAGTGAATTGTCGATCGAACCAAAGACGCACAAAACACGTACGAACAGTCTAGAGTTCTTATTGGTCCTGCTTCTTGACTAGCTCAGCCAGTTAAGTCCAGAACACCAAATCCAGCCTTTGCGATATGAATCATTTAATTCAAACATACTTGGTTTATTTACCAGCCAGACAGACCACATCGTACCAACAAAATAGGAAACAACATTTGTACAAGATTTGGCTAAAAGTGGCTGTGAATGTCGGAGGTAGTAATTAATAGACAGGGCATAATTCAAGAATAGTAAAACGTAGGTCAAAATAAATCTCATAATAAGAGGGACATGAAATGAATAGTTATTTAACAATTATACGATAAAAATATACGCATAGTATTGGTCCATAAATGGATCCCAACAGTCACCATTCATTATTCTCATCGGGACATAACACTAATGTTGAATAAATTCAATTACATTACATTAAGGCTTTTTTAAATATACTCATATATATACAAAGATGGAACAATATTTACCTTATTTAAAGTTTCTTGATAATCTTCTAGTGTTGGTAATTTAGCTAAATATGCTTCCATTTGATCAATTTTATCTTGTTTTAGTTGAACGGCTTGTTTATGCTGTTCCAAATCAATTTCTAAAACTGATATCTGGTTACGATATGTTTCATTCTAGAAATTTATAACCAATATAAGCGATAACATGAGGAGTATACCACCTTTTTTTGAAATTGAATTATTATTACACAAATACACACATACCCATACAATCTTGAGTTATACTAAATAGAATGTTTTTTTACGTGAACTACTATCAATTAAACCTCGATGTTTTCTAACAATCAGTTTGATCATGACTTCAAAAGTTGTAGAAAACGGAGAGGAATGGGTAATCAGGTAGGTTCTTTAAAAAAATACCAATTAGTTGCAAATTTAGGCATAGTAAACCATTTTCGATTCATTTTATTTCATTAATGAAAGATACAATGGACAACATGTTAAACGATAATGTTGAAAAATTCTTATCATAACTGAATAGTACAGTAAGTAAAACTGTGGAAGCCGACTCTCCGTACAAACATCCTGGCAAAATCAATACACTGACTATATTTCTAGGCTTTAAGGAGTTGAGGGTATCTAGGGAAACCCAGTACTTATAAGCGGAGTGTTCTACGAAGCCTCCAGGGCCCTGAATTGTCAGTTACATGACGTCAAGCGAACTCGGTCACTCTTCATCGACACGTTTTAGTGGACCTTGAATCTGACTTGATTTGATATGTAACAGTAAATAAATTCTCAAAACAGATATTTTTGCAAGAGTTTTGACATTGATGCTGACGATAATAGTCCTACAGGACACATCTTTAGCTGAAGGCGCCCAGTCAAACACCTTGTTTGGGGAGGCAGAGCTGCTCATTTCTTATGATAATTAGTTGGCTCAGATTGCACATACCTCAACACATTGGCCATAATCAAAGTATATATTTTCATCCAATCTTTCTTGACCTCTGGTTTAACTGACTCCAGGCATAAAAGGTTTCGAGCGACGGAGTTTTCATGCATTGTATATCCGTGACATCTTCAGATATTTGATTGCAATGGAAGCTAAAGTCAATTTATTTACGTCGAATTGTTTAGTATATTAAGTTTGCTGGTCTCTGGAACGCAAGACAGGTTTGAAATATATCAAATTTTGATCGGAATCTAGATAAGTATTCCACAAGGAGCGAGTAGCATGTCGGCAACGACTGTGTTCGAAGTTTGTTCTGGGAATAAACAGGCTATTATCTACAAAGAACTGCCAGAAGTGACCTTTGTCATCCGACCTACAAACACAAAGTTCACGTTGAACACGAAGCTACTATCTTACATCCTTAGATCGCCTACTTGAGGATCCAAGTTACTAGTTAGCACCACAGTATTTGTTGAACGGGGTTTTCTGAGATCACTAAAATATTGATAGAACTCATTCTTGATTGCACACAGGCCGACATTTATCTGGATGTAGGGGAAGATTATGAAAAAACAACGTTTTTTTTACGTCACTTTCTTTCTTCCTCGATAGAACCTCCCAACCTAACATCAGGTAAACAACTGCTATTGACTATTCAGTCAATTTTTGCTACCTCCACCGACATCCCTAGATGTGTCCATGAAAAACATTTTTAGTCAATGGATATGAAACGAATTTGTAATACTTCACTAGGGTCTTAAAGTACACGTCCTAAGTACACAGAATAAATCGATATATTAAGAATTTCCAAAGACAGTATTTCTAAGTAGATCGGACAACAGACATGTTCAGCTAAGGTTGGAGGAGGCAAGTTTAAATATTACTTGTTTTAGAAAAGTATCAGATTTCGTATCCGATTATCACATTCATGAAATCGACTATTTGGAGTCCTCAAATGCTGTAATGACGAATTTAGTAGTACAGTCAAGAGTATATAAAAACTGTTTAGATGCAAAAAGCTACAATGAGTAAAAACCATACCTCATGTTGCAAAGATTGAATTTCTAAATTCTGTTTGCTTAACAAATCTTCATTTGTTTTTTTACATTGTTCCAGTTCATATTCAGTCGCCCTGAAAATAAGCATATATGGTAAAACTACTTTACTGATAACGTCACAACATTAACATGTTTAACACTACAAATGCTAATTTGATCAGTCTCAATCAAATGTTTCGCAATGGAGGATGATGTCTGTTTGGCATTTTGAACTTTTAGGCTACAATAAAATATAACTCTTATTAAAAGTAGTCTAATAAAAGTCAAGAATCATAAAACTTACAGACGTTTATTTACAAAGGCTATAGACATTATATAAATATATGTATGTTGATGATGAATTCACAGCGACGAGTTCCAAATTTATGAACTAATCAATAAACAACAACTCCACTACCTATATATGATGTAAGTTATTTCCTGTTTGAATTATCCAACGACAAATATCTACGGGGAACGTCGCAGAAAACTGTACTGATTATTTGATAATGAGATATTCGAAGGACAAATATTCTACTAGTAAGCTTTACGTATATATACCAGTGTATTCCTGTAGAAACCAAATGCAATGACTGGATTACATCAGTTTGAAATATGGTAAGTTTTGTGAATAAAGTTTATGGGCCATCAAAAGTTATCTTGGTTTTCGCACAAAATACGTAAAAGCCTTTTCTTAACCTAATGCTGAATCCACCAAATAAAAATTCCTCTCCATCAAGTTATCGATTATTAAAAAAGACAAGAGGTTGAAAGCTCAATAAATAGAAAATTAATATCTAAATTTACTTTTCTGAAGAGTTGTATATCTCCAAAATCTTAGATGAAGATATAAATAATGTTACAAATCAAGCGCGTAATATACATAAATACTTCTTGATGATCTTAAATGACTGAAAAATCGGTGTGACAGATTGGAAAGAAGGGTACCTAATCAAGATACCAAAGAAAGGAGATCTGAGCAAATGTGAGAACTATAGATGCATCACACTACTGTTAGTACCAGGAAATGTTTACAACAGTGCTGCTGAACTGGATAGAAGATTAAATAGATGCTCAACTTCGAGATCAACAGATCAGATATCGTAAGGATCGGTCGTGCACAGACCAAATCGCCACACTACGAATGATTGTTGAAAAATCAATTGAGTGGGACTAGTCACTATACATCAACTTCCTTGATTATGAAAAAGTATTTGACAAAGTGGATAAGAAGACATTATGAAAACTTCTTCGACATAATGGAGTACCTGAAAAAAATCGTCAACATCATACGGAATTCATAAGATGGACTACACTGTAAAGTCGTGCATGGAGGACAGCTGACAGACGCACTGCAATTGAAGACCGAAGTCAGACAAAGCTGTTTACTCTCACCATTTCGTTTTCTTCCGGCGCTTGACTGGATTATGAAGACCTCCACATTTGACGGGAAGCACGAATACAATGGACAGCTTGGATGCAACTAGACCGTCTGGACTTCGAAGATGACTCAAACCTTCTATACTATGCACACGAACAAATGCAGACAAAGACAACCAGTGTAGCAGAAGCCCCTGCAACACAAGGCCTCAACGGACACAAAGAAAAAAGTAAGATCCTCAAATACAACACGGAGAACACCAACCCAGTTACAGTTGTTGGTCAGTCAGTCAGTCAGCTACAACGTAGGACCAGGCACATATATGCATCGGTCCAGGTTGCCATACCTCATTAGCACAACAAGATGGACACCGGATTCATAAAAGTAATTAATTCAGAGGTGGTAATATATAAAAGAAAGATTGCAATAAGGATATAGTACAGGAAGAAAGAATTAGAAAGAAAGATATGAAGCAATTTTAATCTCTTAGTTTAAGGGAAGACAAAGAGTGTATACACCGACGCCATTGTGATCGATTCTGAGCCATGTCACCAAGAGTCTCCAACCATTGGTTACGAAAGTCACGCGGACCCCAACCAAGTAGTCTGCATCTACCAACATGGCTCAGACTAGAAGTTAGTGACTTCAGGCACTGATGCCACGTTTTGGTTTGGCCGCCCCTAACTTTCTTCCAACCATCCCCTACACCGGTTAGCATTGCACGTCGTGGTAATCGGTGTTCAGGCATACGTAACACGTGGCCCAACCATCTCAGTCGATGAAGATTCATAACCTCATCAACTGATTTACCATCATTCCCTAATACCCTGCGTCTAACCTCACTATTACTTACCCGGTGATCCCAGCAGATGCCAGCAATATTTCTAAGGCATCTGTGGTCAAATACTAGTAGCTTACGAGTGTCTTCTACTCTTAACGGCCATGTTTCGCTGCCGTAAATTAAAACAGAACGGACTGCCGCGCAGTATACTCGTCCTTTTATTGATAGACGGATATCTCGCCTTCGCCAAAGGTGACGTAAGTTGGCAAAAGCCAAACGAGCTTTTCGAATCCGTGCTGAGATTTCGTCAGACACCAACCCATTAGGGCTGATCAGACTTCCAAGATAAGTGAAGTTGTCAACGCGTTCGACTACTTCACTCCCTATCCTTAGTTCAGGTGTTGACGCAGACCAGTCCTGAAGCAACAACTTGCATTTAGAGGAGAGAAGCGCATTCCAAACATTCTGGCATTGTTGCTTAGTGCTACCAGAAGACTCTGCATTTTGTCAGCGTCTTCACCAAACAGGACTATGTCATCTGCGTATTCTAAGTCGATAAGTGGACCTCCTGGAAGGAGATCAATACCCGAGAATTCAGTCGACGAGAGTGTTATTTCCATCAATAGGTCTATGATGAAGTTAAACAAAAATGGAGAAAGTGGACAGCCTTGACGGACACCACTTGAGGTTGCAAAAGTAGATGACAGTTCGCCATAAGCCTGACTCGACTAGTAGTGTTCGAGTAAAGAGCCTTCACAAGGTTTATGTACTTCTGAGGTACGCCTTTCAATGACAGACACTGCCACAGAATCTCGCGGTCTACAGAGTCAAATGCTGCTTTTAAGTCAAGAAAGACCACCATTGTCGGACGCCGATAAGTATGCCTGTGTTCTAGAACCTGACGAATGGTGAATATGTGGTCGATGCAGCCACGACCAGGTCTAAAGCCAGCTTGGTTCTCTCGTGTTTGCAGTTCACGAGTCTTAGTTAGGCGTCTGATAATTATCGAGGCTAGTATTTTAGATACTATATTAGTTAAACTAATCCCTCTGTGGTTGTCACAGGATGATTTTGACCCTTTCTTATATATTGGGACGATAAGTGATTGCGACCAGTCAGATGGGATAACGTCTAACTCCCAGATCTTAGCTAAAATATTAGTCAACCTAATCGCTAAAATTGGACCACCATCCTTAAAGACTTCTGGAGCCAATCCATCTGGACCAGCTGCCCTTCCTCGTTTCAGATTAACTATAGCCTTCTCAACTTCAGCAAGAGTTGGGGGACCTACTTCAATGTTCCATTCACATTGTCTGGGAATGGAGGGTAGTTGTAGAGTAGCTGAAGGCCAGCTGAACTGTTCTCTAAAATGTTCCGCCCATCGTTCTAAACGTCTGGACTGGGAGCAGATGAGAGTATCGTCTTTTTCCGAAATAATCTCACTTACACTTGACTTATTAATTCCAGTTTCTTTTATTAGTCTGTAAAGCTGTCTTGTGTTCCCTATAGTCGCCGCCTTTTCCATCTCTTTTGCTTTCGTTGCCCACCACTGCTCACGGTCGTTCCTTAGACTTTTTCTTAACCTAGATCTGATTTGTTGTCGCTCTTCATCATGTTCGGAACCTGATGGGACGAGTTTGCGAGAATCCATCAGTGTGATAGACCTTGAAGAAATCCACTGGTTCTTTGTAACTCTGTGGTTTAAGTCACTAATAGATGTCACTGCTGTTTCCACAGCTGTTGTATGCTTTCCAAGCAACATCTGGGTCAGCCTCGTCTTCACAACTACCTAAGTGTGACCTCAGTTGTTCCTGGAACCTACTTTTGGTTTTCTCGTTACTCAACTCAGTTCTAATGGGTCTTTTTAATGTGGCTTTTTTGCGTCCAGTGAGGCGCAAGCAGATGCGTGCCCGTATTAGGGCATGGTCGGAGTCCAAGCAGGTACTCCAGAATGAGCGACAATCTTCTACCGACCCTCTCCAACGATGACTGATGGCAATATGGTCTATTTGAGTCCATCGTTGGTTTGGTGTAGGGGGTCGCCATGTTAGACGATGTCTCTCCTTATGCTTAAAATTTGTGTTTGCTAAAAATAAACGATTGTCTGAGCATAGTTGCAGCAGACGATCACCATTATCTGTTCGCTGTGTCGGAATACTAAAATATCCACCTAAATGCCTTTCTGTTTGGTTTAAACTGCCTATCTGAGCATTAAAATCACCTGCTACGAGTACTATGTCTGAGCGTTTAGCTTTCTGAAGAAGTTCACATAGCTTTCTGTAAAATTCATCTTTCACTTCATCTGAGCTGCAGTCAGTGGGAGCGTAGGCAGAAACGACAAAAAGGCAACGACGTGTGTCCCTATCCTTCCGAGTTCTTACGGAGCCGTTTAGCCGAACAGCACATAGACGACTGTTGACGGGGATCCACTCTAGCAGTGCTTGTTCCGCCCTCATGCTTAGTGCTATGCCTACACCTGCCAGTCCACGAGAACTGGCCATCGGGTCACCAGATACACGGAGGGTGTATCTCGTTGGCTCTCCGTTTGCCGAGGTGAGGTCAAGTGAATGACCACACTGGAATCCTGTATGCGTGTTTCGGAGACACAGCATACATCAATGGAAAGAGACTCTAGGGTTTTAGCCAAGGAAGCCTGCTGACCGATTTGACATAGGGTGCGTACGTTGAAGGCTCCAATGTGTAGTTTGGAGCGAGGTTTCAGTAGACCTGGGACAGTGTTTTGAGCACTAGAATCGTTGGCTATGGTGACACTTGAGGGGAAGCCGAAAAAGAAGTTTAGAGTTGAAAGTCGATGTAGGAGGAATAATAGGAATTGAAGAGGAGGTTGATTATGAATACAGTGGTCTTGAGTGCTGTTAGAGGTATGAGGGCGGTTATCACTTCCCGGTTGCCCACACCGTGGAAGGGTTCTTCTGGAGGTACCTGAAAAGGAAATTGGATTAGAGGTGGTCTTAGTGACCTGAGAGCGTGACCGCAGTGCCCAAGGGACAACTGCTTGAGGTCGGTCACACACGACCTTTTTGTGGGTAATTTTTGTGTTAGCTCCGTACTTGTTGAGACCTTACCGCCGGAGACGGATATCCGTGGGATAAGGCGAGGTGTGCATTTTTAGGGTCGACCTTTTCTAACCCCACCCCTCCTTGTGGGAAGGCAGCATCGCTGTCATGCTGGTTGTCTGAAGGAAACACCTTACTGCTGTCACACCTCTGTACAGTCAGCAGTACGACTTCGCCTTCGGACCTTGGGTTTGTTGCTTTTAGTCTTACCGCTCTTCAACCGACCTGTCTGACATGGTAGGACCTTGAGGAACGGTTGTTCCAGCCAGTATAGCTCGGTTGCTTCATCACGATAGGCAAGCCCGACCACCACGTCAAGGTAGCAACAACGGTCGGGTACAGTTGTTGGAGAAACACTGGAAGAGGTGGAAACGTTCACATTCCTGGGCAGCATCACCGATGAACGAGGATCTGATGCAGACGTAAAGGCGAGGACTGGCAAAGTGAGAGCAGCTTTCCTACAGTTGAAGAACATATGGAAATCAAAACGGCTGTCTGCAAGTGAACATCAAACTGAGAATCTTCACTAAGAACGTCAAGACAGTTCTAATGCACATAGCTGAATATTGGAGAACTACCCCGACAATCATAAAAAAGCAAGTACATATATACAATTGTCTACGCAAGATACTCAATATCTGTTAATCAGATATCATCGGCAACAGTCTACTGTGGGTGAGAACAAACCAACCAACCAAATTAAGAAAAGACGATGAAAGTGGATAAAACAAACATTGAGGAAATCATCAAACTTCATTACAAGGCAAGCTCTAACGCAACAGATAAAAGCCAAAGAACACATTGTGCCGAGAATTGGAAGTAGACATCAAAAGGACGAATAGCAACTGAAAACAACTGCGAAGAATTTCAAAGGACAGAGTTCGATGGAAAATGCAGGTGGGCTGCCTATGCTCCTAAACGATGGGTAACAGGTGTAAGTATGTAAGAAAGTACTGGCACTCAGAAATAGTCATAAACATCTACTGGATCAATTACTGCTTCAATGGTGATACTGATAATTCGAGTTCATTATTTCAGTTAGGAATTCGAAGTTATTAGATCTTATTACTATGGTAAAGTCAGTTTATCAATCAGAACATATAGTCTGGTACGTATGTACATCGATTGGAGTTGCCGTACCCCTTAGCACAGAAAGATTAAATCCTCAGGTCAAATCCCAGAATCATAGAGGTAGTAACAGTATCAGTGGTAATTAGAAAAATTAAGCATTAACGACGCGATTTAAAAAGAAAATATAAACTAGTGGAACATAAACACGACAATGTTTATGACGAATCTAGAAGTTCAGAACTTAGGGACAGACAACGAATGGATGCACCTGCGTCATTGCAGACGATTTTGGACCATAACATTCAAAGTCTGCAACCACTGGTTACAATATTCACGCAGACCCAAACCAGGTAGTCTATATTTATTAACATTGCTAAGTTTAATTGTCAGTGACTTCATGGACTGATTCCATGTTTTGGTTTGGCCCCTATAGTTTTTTCCAGCCTATTCCTGCACCAGAAAACATCACTCGTCGAGGTAGGTAGTGGTTTGGCATATGTGACAAATGTCGCAACCACCTCAATCGATCAAGATTTACTATCTCGTCCATCGATTTGACATCCTTACTTATTACCCTATTCCTAATCCAGGCATTACTTACTCTGGTCCCAAAATACACAGGCTATGCTTCGTGGACACCTATGATCGAATACCAGTAACCCATTAATACCCTCTACTCTTAATGATCATTCTTCGTATCCATAAAGAAGTACAGAGCGAGCTGCTGCACGGTAAACTCGCCGTTTGGTTGGCAGAAGGATATCTCACCTACGGTAAAAGTGACACGAGTTATCGAAAGCTGATCGAGTCTTCTGAATTTTGCCTGGATTTTGTGAGACACCAGATCATCAGTACTGATGAGACAAATGGAGCGGTTGATGAGTTCAACTACTTTATTTCCTAGCACTAGTTCAGACGAACACATTGCTGAATACAAACGTAAAACTTACAGATGTTGTAGTTTGCAGATTACAGATGAAAATCCTAAATAGATAACTTTTGAGCTTCTTTACAGTGAGAGTGGATGATCCATGATTCACCTAAAGATTTTACGGATATCTAAAGTATGACTTTCTCAACTGACTACTGAAGACAAGTCCGATAATTTACTTAAAAACTTGACCACTACATGCACAGCGTTTAAATATTTGTTCACTGGTCCTAAACATCAATATCCCAAAGTTCAAGCAAAATTTCGTTAGATCTTTGAAAGTACCAGTCGATTCCATTTATACCAGAGCGTTAAAAGACTAAAAGTGGGATACGCATATTCGTTCTGCACCATAAAACGCCAAACATTCTGGAACAAAAGAAATACTGGTGAAATTGCCTGAATGAAACTCACTATTTTCGAATAAAGAGCGCCCACAATCGGCTGAGAATATACAGCACGATGGAAATGATTTTCAAGTGGTCACGAGATTTTTACTGAAGAACGTCGCCTCATATTAGGAAAATTAGTAACTTATTTACACACGACCGATAAGAACGCAGGTACTCTGTTAAGACTCCTATTATTAGTTAATAACACATAAGAGATCTATAACGTATAATATTACATATATTTGATGAAACCCCAGAAAAGTACAGTTAACTACGGAAATCCAGGTTCCTGTTCAAGCAATGAAGGATTTGGTATTTTAATAGTGAAAAATGCTTTGCACACACAATTCAGTCATAAATTTCAATATCATACACTGATGTTTGTTTGGTCTTTTCTTGTCTTCAAGCCCCAATCCATCCGTAGATACTTCAGTACGACTCAACAGATCTGATAATTTCTGTACCGTTAAATACATTTAGCGCGATTACTCATTCCAGTAGACTGATGTAAATATACACTGAATGGTCACTGAGCATTGAAACATCACATGTTGATCTAGTGCATGATGCCGATTAAATCGTATCGGCCAAAATCTAATTTGGCCAATAGTTTTAGTGGCTTGACATTATGTGCACTATATTTAGTTGTTTAGTCGTTAGATATAGTCGGCAGGAATTCCTGAACCTAGGTCTCGTCCTACTTGACACTTGCTAGCGTACCTGTAATTTTGAGGGAACTAGTGAAGAGATTAGGGGTTTTCCATATCGTTAAATACCTGGGATACTACTACTCTTTTTTAGACTCATATCAATATCATAGGTGGTTAGTTTTACCAATACTCGTCAACGAAAAATATGCGTGCAAACAGTGAATTTTATAAACAGTTGGCTACCATTTTTTCCTGCTTAGAAAAGGCGTTCCTCATTTTGGAATGGTTGGTAGAAAAATTCGAGTACTTACCCTAAACGTCGATTGAAATAAATCATATTCCTCTGTAATTCTGATGAAAGTTCTAATATCTTCAGCTTTAATAGTCTATTGTCACTCATATCATCATCCAAATCCTTTGGTTGACAAGTAGTTAATAACAGGTTGGAGCTATTTAGTTTTGAAAAAGATACTCCTTCATTGCTCATCACAGTAAAATTCCTGAAATAAAATCAACTTTTGTTATATAGAAATGATAAAAAGTTTTATGAGCTGGAAAAATGTTATTTAATTCTGTAAGTTAAATATAATAACAGTAACTTTGAATAAACTATTTACTTAAGAGAAATTTATGTGGGCTAAGTAGCTTATGATATTAGTTAATACATCCTAAACTTCTGTAGTGGTCAGTCCGTAATTGATGAGTAAGCCTGGGTCATTTAATCACTGAAGTGCAGACTATAAGCATATGGCAATACTAAAGTATGACGAAAAGCTTGGGTGGTCCTTGTACTACATGTCTCAGGAACAATCAAATCAAAAGTTTCCGCAAACTTTGCTAATTCATAAAATTACGCAATATTCGGACTTTAAGACTTCAAATATTTGTTGATACAATTAACATAAGTTTGTAAACATTTAATAGTGGGGAAGCATTTTATTATGGTTGGCTGTTGACGTAGTCCATGCAAAAGGTAAACGCTACGTGATTAGGGACATTGACTTGTCGAGACCAGCTAGTGAAGCAAAGACGATATGGATAGGAGTTAATACAATCACTTTTATCCTATCTTATGTAGTAGTTAGCAGTTGGATTCAGGAGGTGCATTTCATCTCCACTGCTATTCGTCAATTGGATATACTTCTGGTTAATCATGTTTACACAGATACGTGAACTTACATGACATTTCAAACGCCAAAATGCTACAAACAAGACTACTGGGCTAGTACAAATAATTCTTATCTAATATGTAGTGATCTACTACTAGCCACTAAGTAAAGTAGCACTTTATAAATATAGATATTTTAAATAATCCTGCTAAGCTTTTCCCTACACAGAATTTCTTAAACACTTAACATCACTAGATTTTTTAAAAAATCAAAGTAGGAATAAGTGGAAATGAGGCATATTATAATGAACCGAAACAAAAAATGCATAACAGCGAAGACACTTGTTCATATAGTATTAACATAAGAAACTGACTAACCGACAGTATGCTGCAGTCTCACCAATTAAATAATACGAAAATAAATCAAAAATCATTTGATAAGAATTTAAAAAAACATCGATTACTGGTTATGTTAGTGTTAACACTGTATGTGGTGAGAAAAATGCCACAAATTAATGAAGAAAAACAATAATAACAATTAAAAGTCCTAGGGTGATCTTAGAACATATTAAACAGGCAATACATTGTCACAACAATAAGAACCTACTGGCAACTGCTACACAAAAGTCTTCGGTAGTAAGGATAGACTTATTAGCCCGTGCTAGTTCTTGAGGTGTCTTCTAGCGATGCAGTTTTTCCTTTAAAATGTTCGACAATGGAGCTGATACAATTTGCTTGGGTAGGGAGTTCTAATCGTCGGCCACAAGATTAGAAACAAGGAACCCGAATCTGAGTTTGTTCTACTGCAGCTCCCGAACGCTTCTTGCTGTGGCCTCACAGATGATTATTCCCTGAAAGACAGAAAATACAGCATGCGTTTACACCTAAATCATAATTTGGGATACAAAACTGTATTGACATTAAATGTCAATACAAGGTTACCTCGAACTTCATAATTAGATTAGGGGGAAAGGTTCAATCTCTTTAATAGCTCGCTGCAGCGCTTTACAAAGACTTGCCAACAACTTAGTTTTCATACGCTGAACACGCTCACGTGTCTCGGCACCCTTCATTAGACATGAGCTAGCTGCTTAAGTATCCATTTTGATCCAGTATTCTATATGAGTCTCATATAGACAAGATATAAAATCTGAAACGCATCTTTAGCGATACATTTTAAAGCTACGCGAAGAGACCGTAATACTCGGAAACCAAAAGAGGATGCTGTATTGCAGTGGGCAGTTATTTTAAAATCATAACTTACGACTACCTCTAGGTCTTTTTGTTTATGCTTGGAAGACAAAACAAGTGGATTGACTACAACAAGTAATTGTACGAACATGAAATGAAAATAATGTAATGAACGAATGAGAAGTTAGTAAATCCTGGGTACGAAAAGTTTAGTTGAGTAATCGCCTAATATCCTAGCGACCAATCAACTCATTCAATATCCAATATCTTTAGAGCAAGTTTATATGAATAGGTTGATTGCTTTGGGATCTCTTCGTGTAGTATCAGTAACGCTCCAGGTATTTGGTAATGTCAAATGGATGGTAGCCCAGCCATTCAACCGCACTAGTTCTAGTAAATATGCTAGTTTTTTGTCGGTCTGTGTACTAATTTTGATGGTTCTCCGTCCTTACCCTATCTCATGGCATTACTCACATGCTCAGTTACCCGAACGTTTGATGTCTTTTTCAAGCACCTCATGAAACCACTCTGTACGTGCTGTAACCTGATTTTTGCGGTTAGTGCGCGGAATGTTAAAGTCCCTGGTCGAACTCTAGTCTAAGTAATTATTGTGGCACCTGGATTACATTATCTTTCAGAGTATTGGTAGCCATGGGTAACTGCAGGATTCCTTCAACAAATTGCATGATGCCGTTCACGTTGAAGCAACACCAGCATGTCTTTCAAATGCTCGTTAATGTATATCCCCAGTCCATTTCCTGTTTTGCGTACTTTGCCATATCAGAAATGTCAAGCAATGAGTGCTCAATCCTTCGTTAGTAATGATGTAGGAGTGACATGTTTCAGTTAGTACTATGATCTACATATCCAAGTGAAGGCACTCGTTCCTGATTTATGTTCATTTACCCTTTGATTCCTTACATTATTGTGGAAACTTTTGATTATTTTTCTCCTTATCTATTGGTCTTTCAACTGGTTATGAGATTATGAAAAAAATGCTGTTTGGAATGCGTCGGCAATTCTACGTTAACGGGATCCTGAAGGATTTTTGCCTGTATATTGCTTCTCATTCGATGGATCGTGACCTTAATTTTCTATATCATGGGTTCTTCATCGAGATAAACTTACATTGAGGTTTATCTTTTTGGCATTTCTAGGTCGGCCGTCACAACATCATCTGCGGATCAAGAGGCCATTTTTCAAGGTTTAGCATGCCTGGAGAGCTTCATTTTAGTATTCTCGGTTTCTGAGTATTACGGCTATCAATCACACAAATTTAATGGTCGTTAGGCTTTACGGACGAAGAATTCAAGAAGCACTAATTATCTAATTAGTATGAGGGCCAATGATGCGTAATAGCCAACGCCACTAATGCATATAATCTCCATAGGCTTCGTCAACAATATCACTCACCAGCTCAATCACCTCGCGAATCATTGTGAGCGTTGGTCCTTAAGGGTTCATCAGCAATCTTCTAACAACATCTCTTACGGCTCACGGCCCGTCATGTCTAACTTGTGGACGACTTTTGGCTACAATATAGAATCCACGATTTGTCGGGGTGCCAATCTGGCATCACACAATATCTGCCTCCACTCTTTATGATCAAAGTCAGTCCTATCTTCCAGCAAGCCACACTCTGATGTTGCTGGTTTCCTTTTGAACCCCAACCAACCAGACCTACTGCTAAAAATCTCTGTGCCTAGGTTGATGTCCCTAAGATATTTGTGTGGGTTTTGGGCTGTGTTGGATGGATCGAGTACAGAGATGAGTATTTCGCTTTCCCCAGTTCGCTTCGTGTATTGTTTCTGTACCAGAACCGTGGGCAGGTGTATCTTAAGTCGGTAGTATTATTTATTTACTGCAGTTTCAAACCAACGGCAGACTCAGATACTAGAAAAATGCATCCCGATTCCGCCTTCCTTGTTTTAAATAGAGACAAACATACAATGCAGTAAACATGGTTGTCTTTTCTCTTGAGTAAGTTGCATCACGGAATAAAGAATGTCTTCTCCTAATCTTTTCCTTAATTGTCGTTCTAGGACTGAGAATCTATGTTGTGGTGTGGTCCTCAGTGTCTAGTTGGAGACAAGGTATTGGTGATTGTGTCAAGTAGACCGAGCTGTACACAGCATATTAAAGTCGACTATCTAGTGTAGTTGTTGATTTACTCATAACGTTGTTCTCAGGTAAGATTTTATGGCTTGCCACGTTTCACGGAATTACCCCCCACTAGTCATTCTTAAGGTTATTGTGTAAGTATTAACGACAATGCCTTCACTGTGTATGTTACTCAATAAACTAGAAAGTAGGTCGTGAGAAAATTGAGGAAGAACACGTATATAAGTTTAGAATAGAGGAGGTAGTTAAAACAAGTATATGTTGTGCAAGGACGCTAAATGAAAGGCACCTGAAATTCCAACGGTACTTTTGACCGTCCCAGCTCGCGACTCAGCTTGGACCCAGTAACGTAATTACAACCTCAAGGTGAATGAATGCTCGCACGCCTCAGCCAAAGTTCAATCATTTGTGATGAAAATGAAGAGTATGGCTGTTTCATTATTTTAAGTTAAAAATTTATGCTATGAGACATGTGAACTGTCTGAAGCAATTATTAGGGTGAAATTAAGATATATATGATTTTTGAAAACCGACTAAATCTGTTTATGTTATATGGATTTCAACTAATCAGATCAAAATGATGCACGATTTATAATCAGTTGAATTTGTAAATTCTTGAGTGTATGCTGCGAAAATCGGATATATCGAATCACAAAATATTCATAACAATAAATGTTAAAGCAAACGCTGAATGACCGGGTGTACTGAGAGAAAAATACAAAGCATAATATCAGATGCAGCATAAAAATAAAATGTTCACAGGTAAAACTAAGTGCAAACGAAATCAAGGCTTGGGTTGAACAAATATATAGTACAACTAGTAAAAAGATGGATATAGACAATACAGGTGAACAGAGATTTAATTATATTGAGCGTCTTTTGCAAAAATTCCGACCAAAGATCTTCTTGAACTATCAATCAATGTGCAACGTATGACGAGAAATGTAGGCGTAAAAAGCAACGAGACAACGAGTGGAAACAAAGGACATCGTGGTCTATGGAATAACGCTTAAACCCACGGTTTGCATCCTGATACATATGACTGACAGAAATATATAGAGGACTACTAATTATTCAACCATATGCTCAGACAATCAAATGATATATATTCAACGATCACCCACATCGGCAGAAAACGTTAGCTGGTATAATAGTTGGCGAAACAGGCGGACGAACATACTCAGCATGGGCTCATGACGTACAGACAAATCACTCTAAAAGTACAAGTCGCCTAAGCGCGTTCAAGGTTTCCACTGTGCCTTTCCTGAGACGAGGAGACACTCATATTCTAATTGGGGGCTCACAGAAAATGAAAGGGTGACAACAGAAACTCTTGTTTACTACCAGTCTTCACTTAGTACGCATCTGTGAGCTGACCCTCAACACACGACTTCGCAACGCAGTTTTTTCGTAATCGCTCCGTACAGCAGTGTCTATCTTCTCAGGTACTCCATCGTCTCGATGAAGCAAAGTCTCCTTAGTATATCGAACACACTCTGACGACCGAAGTTGATTTATGGGTCTGAGTTCATTCGTCCAACAATAAATGCAATGTCAAGGGACATATATTCCTTAGTATTTTGCCGGCGTATCCTTCTTCCAACCTGTAGTACCGGAGGTGGTTTTAGGAGACCAAGAATAACCTTTCTTGAACTTAAATCATAAGCATTGGTGGCGCGTGGTGATAAGGATAAACGAGAATAGCCGACTGTGAGGATAGAATTATTAGGAGGTGAAGGATGGATTTGATTGTGATCAAGATGATCCCAGATGCTACTAGAGGTACGAAGGTGGGTGCCATCCCCAGGACACGCACACTATGTAAAGAAGCTTCTACTTGGAGGATCTGAAAGATAAACCGAAGTTATGAAGGACTCAGTGACCTGATGTTGTCCACACAACCCAACGGACAACTGCTTAAGGCCAGTTGATGATGGCTTATCTACGGGAAGTTTCAATGTGTTAACTCCACACTTCCAAAATCTTTACGGCCGAAAGTCTGTGGAGTAAGCCAAGATTAGACACTTTTCGCGTCGACGTTTTGTAAACACTTCCTTCATTGTGAGAACGTAGCATCGGTGCTTGTGCTGTTGTCCGAGGGGAAAACCATACATTAACCACAAACCTCCGCAATTGGCAGTACTTCCCACTCGGACAGTACCTTGCTTCTCTAAGTTTTACCGTTATTCGACCGACCTAACCGGTATGGTAGAACTTAAAGGAACATGCGTCCCAGTCAACATAGGACGTTTGAAGCATTGTGAAAGGGAAATCCGACCACCACTTCAATGCAGCATCTAAAGTTTGGACATAACAGTAAATGTCTACACTAATGCTGCGAAACACCATTTACGAAAACATGCAGGTTTTTGAACTGCTACTCTGGCGTGGTTTACAACTAAGTGAAAAAAATTAAAATGAACACCTCGTTATTGAAAAGGATGCCACTTCGGTGAATTTTTTATTGACAGGGATGGCTTGTATCACTTATTTACCATGCCTAATAGTGATCTACATTGACAGAGAATGTTTGCTGGTATGAATTGGGAAAACAGGTGGATAAACATGCTTGGCATGAGTCCATGACGTACTTAACTTTTATTGATTTGGTTTGTTGGTAGACGCACACTACCTAAAAGGGTCGAGATAACCATGACTGGTGGTTAGAGCCTATGTGTGACATAGCTAAGAACCAGCCACAACAATCCAGATGCATCTAACCCCTAAAATATTTCACCGCAACAACTTTGTTGTTCCCAAACCTGTGAGATTACACACCCATTCCAGGACCGAAGTTGGTCATGACCGATTCTATTGTTATTTTAACACTATAGTTCAGACGATCTGACAATCTACAGCAATTTCCTGCACTAGAAACTATAAACCAGGTTACGCGAATTCATCTGGTATCGAACAACTAGGAAATTATCGGGCGAGTAGAGTACAGTAGAAAGCAACAACACGATCGATATATTATTGCATGATTATAATAAGCAATTAGCCTGACTGAACGTACAGTGGGATATCCCAGATGTTAGTTAACACTGACACAAAAGTAAGAGATTATAGAATGTAGTAAGACAGAAAAATCAAAAGTTTTCCTGACTAAGTACCTTCAAAACATTTTACGCATACAATCGACTTCTTAAATATGATAGAACCTAACACGCTCCACTTGGTTTAGACATGTGATTAGAAAACTCAACTAATAATCTAACTACCTATAGAATTTATCAGTACTGGAAGACACCGATATTTTGTGATAATGATGATCATGATAGAGCTTAAAAAAGAGTTTAGGTAGTGCTCAAATACACCATCAACAGGTTGCCAACGCACGTACATGTAGCCTAAAATAACTATCTACATGGTTCATGTACTAAGATGCACGAGAATTGCAAAGATAATATTTTGGTGCTCAGATTAATGTGTAAGGTGGAGTTGGGTCTGAACCTATCGACCGTTTACACTAGTAAGTCATTGACTCAAGATACAAATGCTACATCATAACGGTTGAAATTACAAAGCAGACAAGCAAACTTTCAAGTTAGAAATAATTGGCTTTCTATAATCATATCAAGGATATTCAATAGTACGTACAGCAAAGTACATTTACAGACATATGCAAAATATCTTCCAAAAGTTTGCAAAAACAACA